CTGCTCCTACCTGGGCCAGGTGTCAGGGGCCCTGCCTCTCATATGCCCACTCACCCCAACACAACCATCTAACCCCCACCACCTCAAAACCCAGCCACGAGGCCATCTCTCTCAGGAGGCCTTCCCTCATCCCCTCTGCTTCCCTCTGAACTCAAAGCCACAATCTCTTGGGTTAGGATGAAGACACAAGGACGCTCACAAATGATGAGCGCAGGGGTGGGGAATGTAAACAACCAAGTGTCCAGATTGGTTAGATAAGCCACGGGACACCCACCCAACATTAGGTGGCCATTAAGAAAATTACGTTTCCATGGACTACTTAGCATGGGAGAATGGCCCCAGCAAAATATTAAGTAAATAGAATATAACCCTTTAAAATATGTTCCCAATTGTGTAAAAATAGTCACACTCGTGTATATTACATATGTAGTAAAAATAGTAGGAAGAATGACACTGAAATGTACACAGAGGCTCTTAATGGTGGGATTAAAAGCAATGTTTAAATTTCTTTATATTTTTCCAAATTTTGAAATTTTGCCTCAAACATTATAATGGTCAGAATAATCAGATTTCTCAAGTGGAATCCTAAATATTTCCTAGTTCTAGGCTTGCAACTTCTCTTCTAGTTTTGCCAAAATGTCATCTGACCTTTGCTTGAACTCCTCCAGAGATGGGGAACTCACTACCCTTCTTTTTTTTTTTAATTTTTATTTATTTATTTTTCCCCCAAAGCCCCAGTAGATAGTGGTATGTCATAGCTGCACAACCTTCTAGTTGCTGTATGTGGGACGCGGCCTCAGCATGGCCCGAGAAGCAGTGCGTCGGTGCGCGCCCGGGATCCGAACCCAGGCCGCCAGCGGCAGAGCGTGTGCACTTAACTGCTAAGCCACGGGGCCGGCCCTCACTACCCTTCTTTGTCTTGAGAAGTAGAACCTGGCTCCCTTTTAGCTTCCCTTCACTGGCCACAATTCTGCCTTCTGGAACAACAGAGAACAAGGCTGCTTCCCACACCCCGTGACAACACTTCAGAGGTTTGAAGGCAGTGGTCAGACTCCAGGCTTCATCCCCCAACTTCAGCAGCCTTCCAAGGACATTAATGTCCCCCTGTCTCCGACATCCCTGTTTGCTTTCCTTGGGTACAATCCAGGCAGTGATGTCCTAAAAGTGTAACTATGTCTCCCTTATGACATTTCCCACATTCCCTCTTATCAAGGGCGTACTACCTGCCAGTCAGCGTACCAGGGACTCCATTACACGCACACCTTCATCTAATCTTTAGAACAACCCGGTGACCCAGGAGCTAAGTTAACGCCTAACTTACAGATGAGGAAACTGAGGCACAAAGAAGCCAGGTCCCTTCCATGGTCACTTAATGGATCTGCAATGGAGCCAGGACTGAAGCAGCACCCACCCCAGAGCCTGGTGTGCCGAGTTAATAAGTGAACATGTGAGCCCAATGCTCAAGCCCATGCCCTTAGAAATGGTTTTATTTCAGAACTATCTATGCCCATGCCAGGATCTTCCATGTCATTCACTTCTGCATCTCTCCCTCTCTCTCACCCGGCCTGCTACCTGGAAGCGCTCCTGAAGGGCTACTGAAAGACTGACACGCTGAGAACCAGTGGCCTGAGGCCTGGCTTTGGGAGCAGTGCTGAGCCAGGTTCTCGGATGCCCTGCTCAGGGCTGTGACCAGAGCTGAAGCCCTGGGGACTGGGGACATCAGACATCATACCAGGCACACAATGACCATGAGGCACTAGGTACCCTTCCACACCACTGCCCAGGGGGGCTGGCAACCTCCTGAGGGTTGAAGGCCCCCGCCTTCTCCCATGTGACTCCCACAGGCCAGTCCATGGTAGACTGGTTTCCTGGGCCCCTACCCTCTCTGTCTGGCCTTCTCCCAAGTCCTTCCGGGGGACAGGGCCACATCAGCCATGGTCTCTGTCAAAAAGGGTTTAGGAAGAACCACACAACGCAGAGGGTTCCTTAGTAGCCACACCCAGCCTGCTAGGGATCCTCACTCATTCATTCACATTCATTCATTCACCAGGATTTCAACTTGTCCCAATAAGTCCCAAATAGACTTACCCCCAGGTGGGGCCTCTCAGTGGGGTCTAGAACAGCTGGTCAGCAGAGGCCACCAGGCACTGCAGACCACATAACTCAGCAAACCCTCAGGTCTTTGAACCTGGAGGGACCTTGAGAAGTCCTAGTGGTCAAGCCCAAGTCCCTAGCAGAGTGGACCCCACTGAAAGCTCCGGCCTCACTCCTGGCTGCCTCTGCCTCCACTCTCCACAACGAGCCCCCCACACTGCGCTTTCTCTGGCTTGGCCTCTGCTCAGGCTGTTCTCTGCCCCGACTGGTAACTCCCACCAAACCTTCAACATTCAGTCAACGCATGCCCCCCATCCACGAAGCCTTCCTGGATCTCTCAAGGCTGGATGAGACACACCTGTTGCACCCTGGGCTAACCCCTAGCCTGGCTCTTATTTGGCCCTCATTCACTCACTCATATATTTACATAGTACCTGCTCTGTGCTCTGCCAGAGGTGATGGGCATGGGATGGGGAGTGTAGAAAATCAGGCTCAGCTGCACCTGCCACCCACTGTCTCTATGACTTTGGACACATCACTCCTCCCTGAACCTCAGTCTCCTCACCTGCAAAGTGGGGACGGTTCAGCAGCTCAGCCAAGCTTCCAGGGCTTCTGTGAGGCTAGCAGGATGTGAAACTACTCTGTAAACCGCCACTCAGGGTGAGTCATTGTTGTCGTGACCTGACACTCTCTAGTCTGAGCTCATTTTTGTACATCCCATCCTTAGAGCCCTCCTCTCCCCGACCCGGCTGACAGCCTGTTGGGGATGGAGCTGAGGCCTTCCAGGGGTTGGCACCTGGATGAGAAATTGGGCAGGAGCCCAGCCTAGAGGGATGGAAACAGGCATGAACTTTAAACAAAACCAGGTTATAAATCCTGCCACGCAGGGGCAGGGGCCTGGCACTGCTGGGCAGGGAAGACATGCCAGGCTGCTCTGAGGCAACAGGGTAAAGCTTTAATGCCAAAGAGCTTTGGAATCAATAAGAAGCCTCTGGAAGCACAGGGTAGGGGTGAAGACAAAGAACATTGGATTAGGGGACTGGATACCTGGCTTCTGCTCTAAGTTGCTCTGTGACCTCAGTCAAGACCCTTTCCTTCTCCAGGCCTTAACCTCCCATCTGTACATTGGGTGCATCAGCCTAGGTGGTACCCAAGGCCCTTTCCCACTCAGATAGTCTGTGCTGACTTTACTTGCCCTTCACAGCTTGGGACAGGGGGTCCAGTTCAGGCTGTGCCAAGGACAGACAGGGACAGCTGGTAAGGCTCTCAGAAGGGCTAGGAGGTAAGGGAACCCACGCTCACTGTGCTGTCCTCTTCCAGCCTGTGGAAGGGTCAGGCCTGGGACAGGGCTCCTCCTCCAGTCTCCTCTCCCCACTGCGTCGATGGAATTCACCCTCAGCCCACTTTGCAGACTGTGAGGTTGACACAGGTGCAGAGAACACAGACTCTCAGATCCTTAGAAATCCTCCTGCTCATCCCCCTCCTTCTCCATATAGAGGGGGAAACTGAGGCCCAGAGAGCGGTAAGGGTCACACAGTGTGTTTGTGGCAGAGCCAGCACTTAAACTCAGGATGGATGTCCACCTCTCAACAGCCCGGTTACAAGTCTCAGCCCAGGCTCGGGTTTGTCTGTCCACCATCCCTGTCAGCCAGCCCTCTGAATCTGTTGATGGAGGCAAGCCTCAGTTCCCTTGTTGGAGCCAGAGAAGACATGAGGTTTCTGGGTCAGAGCTTGAGGTTTTTTGAAGTGAGAATGAAGGATGAGTAAGGAAAGCGGAGGAGGCATTGTACTTGGGACCAAAACTTGTCCCCCTGGACTAGGCAGAGGGCAGGGAATAGAATCACCCAGGTTGGGGACGGTACTGAATCCCCAACAGGCAGAAAAGCTTGTGCCGGGGCACAAGCAAAGCAGAAGCAGAGAGAGACAAGAGAGACTCAAGTTCAACGAAAAATTACTAAATACTGTCACAGTCTGGGGCCTCTCAGGGTCTCCTGGGGACTGATCATCAAGTTTAAGGGGCCACCTATCCGCACCTGGCTGGAGGGCAGGCAGTAGTAGAAAAAACGGTGAGGACTTGCGCCTCAGGGTGTCCCCTGAGAAGGCTGTCCTCTGGCTCCAGACTCTGACCTTCTGGCCTTGTCAGACCCCAAGGGGCAGCTGGTCCCACTGCGAGAAACCCGAGCAGGGAGTGGTCCCCTGGGCCCTAACCCAGCTCCGAGGCCCCTTGGGGGAGGGACAGGAAGGGCGGGAAGGGCAGCAGAAGGCGGTAGACCTCCTCCCTGTTTGGCCCCTCCCAGCTACCCCCTGGACAGCCCACATGCACCGGCTCGGGGCCTGAAGAGGCTCTAGACCAGCGCCTCTCAAACTTGAACGCGTACTGTAAGCACCTGGGCATCTTGCTAAAAGGCAGGTTCTATTTTAGCAGGTCTGGGCAGAGCCTGAGAGTCTGCTTTTCTAACAGGTCCCGGGTGATGCTGATGCTCTAAATCCCTGGACCACTCTGCGAGTAGCGGCCCTAGAGATTATCTGCCTCTGAACAGTGGGAAAGCAGAAGGCCCAGAGAGGTCAAGTCACTTGTCCACGGCCACACAGCCAGCAGCCCCCGACCGAGGCAACGGGCACCTGCCATAGGCACTAGACATTTCCCCGCCCCGGGCAGCCGGAATTAGCTGCCCTTCCCGGGCCCCGGGGCCGTGTGTGTATACTCGGCTGCCCCGCGCCGCTCAGCCCGGGGCCGCGGGAGAGGGCGCCCCCCGGCCGAGCTCTCCCCGCCAGCCTCTCGCTGCTCTCCGCCCGCCACCCAGGGCAGACCAGAGCGAGCCCGGGGCGCCGAGGGCCCCCTGCGGCGGAGCGGCTCCGCACCCCCATCCCCTCCGAAGGCAAACTTCTCCGCCGGCGCCCTTTACCTTTTTGGGGGGTTTGCAGCAGCTCAGCCTGCTGTGTCCGCAGCCCATCCTCCTCCGGGGGCTCCCGGACGCCGCCTCCCAACTCCGGGGCCCCCAGAGGACCCTGCTGTCCGGGCCCCGCTGCCCGCTCCGCGCGCGCCGGCCGGGGCTGCCGGCGAGACCCTGAAACTGAACCTGAAAGCGCAGACTTGAGCCCGAGCGGGCGGCCGCGGCCGTAAATACCCGAAGAGCAGGGCCTCCGCGAAGCCCGCGGGGTCCCCGGCGCCGCCGCCCGAGGGGGGTGACCAGAATCTTTGTAAACGATAGGAACCTCCGGCCGGGGCAGAAAAGATGCTTTTCTGGGCCCTCAGCAGGGAAAAGGCCAAGGAAAAAAATTAAAACAATAATTTAGTAAACAGAACAGCTACGATTCATGGAGAGCTGTTTCTGTCCCGGCTACTTTGCACGTATTATTTCTATTTCTCTCCATTTCCTTGCAACAAAGGCATTATTTCCTCCATTTTGCAGGTGAGGAAAACGAGGCTCAGAGATGTGAAGTGATTTGCCTAAGCTCACATAGCTTCTAAGTACCAGAGCCCGGATGAAATCCAGTTCTAACTCCAGGACCTAAGCTTCGATCCACTTCCCTACCAATACATGGTAGTACTAAGTTGAATCGCAGTGTCTTCTCGCTTCTGGGTCAACAGCTCTTTCCAGCTCACAAGCATCTGTGATATTCTCCTCTGTCCGCTTGGATGGATGTTACCCGTCACAACAACCTTGTGAGGCAGACAGGCAGATGAGTGGGAATAAGGGACACAAAATATCAGTGTCTGGGAAAACGAACTTTTATTTCCCCTCACTTTGTTACTAGCAGAGGTTTGTGAGATTGGCAGTGCAGAAAAGACACCTAAATTCGAAAATCTGTGTGTGCGTATCTGTGCTTATATTAGGAAATTATACAAGACCCAGAGACACTTAGAAAGGTGTTGATGACAGGGACTTACAGTCATAAATGGGGAAAGGAAACGAGACCACAAAAGCACTTCCTCCTCCACAGAGTATAAGACCAACTGCAGCAGGTTCTAAGAAAGGAAACTAAGGACACTGGTGACATGAGGTTCTTGGAAGGAAGAATAATATAGGCCAGTGGTTCACAAAGTGTGGTCCCCAAATCATCAGCATCAGCACCACTAGAGAACTTTGTTAGAAATACAAATTCTCAGGCCCCACCAGACCTACAGACCCTGAACTCTGGGGATGGGGATCAGGAGTCTAGTTTCACAAGTTCTCCAGGTGATTCTGGCCTGTGCTCAAGTTTGAGAACCACTGCTGTAGGGCATGCTAAACAGGTCGTGAGGAGACAGTGTCCGCTTCAATTAACTGTTATCCAAACCGTGCTCATGATTAAAAGAACACAACAAACAAGCAAAAACCCCAAATAACTTAAATATCCAAGAAAAGCAGCTTGGTTAAATAAGTTATGATATATCTACAAAAATAGAATCTCATGTGACCAGTAAAAATACTGGTGAGGATGAAGTTTTTAAATTTTATAAAATGTAACAAATCCGTTCTTATTAAGAAAAGTATTAATAGCAATTACTATTGAATGAGTGATATTTTGGATATTTAAAACTATTCTTCATTTTCTTATATTTAAAAAAAGAAGTGTACACTTATTACTATCACTATTATTACATTCATGAGACTAGTTTTTTACCATCAAGTAACTGGTAAGTATGTGAAATCCCAAAGAAATGGACAATGACTGTGCATTAACTAGGTAGAAAAGCAACATAAAGGGCAAACATGGCCAAAAATGTGTGGGGAGATCACGACCAAGTAATGCCCTGCATGATCCTGAACCAGCTGTTTCCCATTTTGGAGAGTTTCCCGTCTGAGTACTGACGAGTTGAACTTTGCAAGACTGATTTCAAATTTTAATGTAAACAATTGAAATCAATAACTTGGGCTGGTGGGTGGGAACCAGGAAGACAAATTCTGTTCTGGAGCCTCTGTTTTCAGGAGCTCTTGCCTCCAGCTTCCTTGAGCTTCCTAGGAGACCAGGCTCAGATTTCCCACTTTCACACAACTAGCTTTTTGAGTACGTGCTTTGAAGTTCCTGCCTTTAGTAACTTGAGTTTGAATAAGTTGCTAGTGAGATTTTTGGTGGCTGATGTGCCAGTCAGATGAGGTTAGATTTTGCTGCAGTATTGAAAAACAGTCTCAGTGACTTACCATGAGTGAAGCTAAGTTTTGCTCACAGTACACCTCCAGCATGGGGAGGCAGAGGGCTCTGCTCACAGAGACATTCTACACCATCCTGTGATGCAGCCGTCTCAACACCATGGCTACAGGTGTCCAGGGTTTGCACGGTTGGAGAAGAGAGTGTACAGAGAATGGTGCTTAGAGTCTGAAATGCTTCCACTCAGAAGTGACACACATTAAGTCCACTCCCATTTTATTGGCCAAAGCAGGTCACACGGTCGTGCCCAACTTCAAGGGGATGGGGAAATGCAATGTGTGCCCAGAAGGGGAGGAGAACCAGAAATACTGGTGAACAGCAGAAATGTCTGTTATAGGCAGCAATCAACAAGCAGGACTACGATGTGCCCATTTCTTGGGCAAGTGGGGTGACTAACTCATCCTGGTTTGCTCAGGATCTCCCCACGTTTAGCACTGAAAGTCCCACGTCCCAGGAAGCTCCTCAGTCCTCGGCACATAGGCATGGTCGGCCACCCTATGGGCAAAGCAGAGTGAAGGCACAAGAAAATAAGACTCAGTTCTTGTCCTTGAATTAGTTATAATCTATTTTTTTGACATTAGACCTATACATAGGAAAAGAAAGGAAACAATACAAAACAGGTTATAAAGCTAATGTCAAGTTGTGTACTCCATGTGGAAAGTATTAGCATTAAAAGAAGACATGAGGGGCTGCCCGGTGGCGTAGCGGTTAAGTTCACGTGCTCTGCTTCCGTGGCCTGGGGTTTGCCGGTTTGGATCCTGGGCGTGGACGTACTCACCACTCATCAAGCCATGCTGAGGCTGCGTCCCACATAGAGCAACTAGAAGGATGTACAACTATTACATACAACTACATACTGGGGCTTTGGGGAGAAAAAAGGAAAAAAGGAGGAATATCGGCAACAGATGTTAGCTCAGGGCCAATCTTCCTCAAAAAAATAGGAGATAAGAGACCATGGTGGATGAGGTGGGGAAGGAGGACTCCTGGAGGAATACTAAAGCCAAAGGACATTCATGCCAGAAGGAATTCTGGAATCTTAGGTTGGGATGGAATCTGATGCTTGGCTTTTGCTGCTTGCAACTGAGACAAATCTCTTTTCTAATTTCCCTTCTAGGTGTTTGTGCAGTCTACATTTGAATACTTCCAGTGATGGGGAAATCACTACCTATCTTTCCGTATCTAGGAGGAAGAGGAGAAGCAGAGAGGAGTAATTACAAGAGGGAGGAACAGCATGAGTCAAGTCAGGGCAGACTGTGGAGGTCCGGGAGTCCGGGAATGAGGAATTAGTGTTGGTGGCTAGGTTGTGTGTAAAGGGATAGAAGTGGAGGATGGGGTGGGCTCTTCGGGAAAGATTGGAAAGCACAAGATGGGGATTACCGTGAACATCTTTCAGGAGAGAAGTACAATATACCCATACATGAAAAGTTTTGTGCAGAATTTCAGGGCCTCCCTGCTGCCCACGCAGTGGGGCTGTGTGTGGATCCCAGCTTAAGAGTCTCTCAATTCAGTGGTTGCTAAACCAGTTGTTCCCCAAACATATGTTGTCTGCCCAGAGGGACTTTCTTTACAATCCATCTCTGTGGGTTATAATTCTACCTGTACATCAAGAAGCAGCTCAAATGCCCTCTCCTTCCGAAAGCCTTGCAACACTTGTTCCACCGCTCTCTTAGCACACATGCAGTTTTCCTCTGAGTTACACTTGTTTGTGGGCTGTGTGTTCTCCCTAATGGACTAAGGGTTACACACCCCGTCTCCTCCCACCTCACCTCACCCCATACTTAGTAGGTTGTGGCAGAGACTTCCAGCCACCTTACTCAGCCTCCATTCTTCCCTGTTCCTTAGCTACAGAATCCTGATATTCTCTCGGACAGCAGTGTGCTGGGCTAACAGGCTACTTACCCAGCTTCCCTTGCATCCAGGGGTGGCAGGTGATATGTAAGGGGAAATTACTGGCTGAGACTTCCAGGAAAACTTTTAATAGGGGAATGACTCAGCTGAGAGCAGAGCTCCCCCTTTCCTTTCCCCCCCATTTCCTGCCTGGAATACACACATGATGGCTGAATTCCAGCAGCCGTTTTATTAACCGGAGCAAAAAGATGGAAGGAGTCTTGATCTCTGATGAATTTACGGAGCCCCCGTACGGGCCTCGATCAACTACTTCCCAATTTTTTCGTGTAATAGAATAAACAACAAAGTTATTTAAGCCACCGTCACTGAGATTCTGTCACTAGCAGCAGAATGCAATTTCTAACCAATTCATAGGTCACTAAGTAAGGTTTGTTATATGGAATTTAATTAGAATAATTTACTTTTGGAGACACTGTGTGTAGCCAGCTTCACTTCTGGAGGTGGGAAACGAGGCTCTGCTGAGAAAGGTACCCTGGATTTGCCAGGCTCTTGAAAGAAATGTTGGTTTTGACAGCTTCCCCTTGGAATATATATAAGGGAAGGAAATGGGAGGGAATCTAAAACCGTTGAGTCCTTAGGCTTCTATTGGAGTGTTTGTCAAGGAATGGGCAGGCTCATTTGCTTCAGAACTGCGGGGAGCCCTGTATCATTTTCCCGTCTATTGCATGAGGACGGGGAGGACTGAGTCTGAGTCTCACTCAAGTTTGAGGCTTATTGTTCCGGTGGTTGTGGTGGGTCCTCTCACCAGGGAATCAAATTGCTACATTAATTATATTGAATTGTGTTGAATAGAATTAATGAGGAGGTCCTTGGAAAGGAGAATTGAGTTGAGTGATGCTAATTAGCAAGAAGCCATCCCTGCCTATTTTCCCAGGAGACCTGTGGTTTGGGCTTTGGGGCTGCCTTGGGAGAGGCGGCAAGATTTGCCTTACCACTTTCTTTACCAAGAGTCGATTCATGTCCATAATCATTGGTGGGCACTTTCTCTGTTCAGTGAAGTTCAGAGGGAGGTCCTCAAGGAGCTTCTATGGTAATGCAGAGTAGGAGGGGCACAGGCCATCCCCTAGAGATTTTCTCCAGGGAAAATGCACATCACCTTGTGAAGTGGGCTCTAGGGTCCAGAGGCTACTAGTAAGGAACAGGAGTAGCCGTTTCTTTACATCAGTGGTTCTCAAAATGCGGCCCAGGAATTAGCAGCATCAGCATTTCTTGGGAAACTGTTAGAAATGCAAAGTCTTGAACCTCACCCCAGACCAGCTGCATCAGAAACGTTGGGTGCGGGCCCAGGAATCTGTGTTTTACAAGTCCTCCAGGTAGTTCTGATGTGTGCTTATGTTTGAGCTCATGTCCGATGGCCATTTTTCTTTAAAGGGCACAGAGATGAAGGATAGAGTGGGGTCCAGGGCTCAGTGAGTCTACAGGTGAGCCCCATTTTGCATATTTGAGACATCCTTGGCTGGGCTGTCGGTCTAGGCCACCCCTACCTGTGCCCTCCATGTGAAA